TATTTTCTTTGTTTGGTCTACTTTATCCCTATTGCATTACGAAATTACTCACTCTTGAAGAAAGAGCAAGAATTATGATGAATCAAAGTTGACGGAGGGTTGGCTTTCAACCAACTTTGTCCTCGCCTCATTGCCTGCAAAAATTGATCGATAATATTTATGACTCCATTATAAGTTGGAATTATATTCATGTCAATCACATTTTAATATGTACGTAAAAATGTATTTATGCACGCATGTTAATTTGTGGATTGACAATAGTAGTAATAATAACAACATTAATGTATGAATTGTAATGGGTAGGGCAAGCACTTCCAAAAAAACTATTTCCCGACGAAAGAATTTCGACAGGCTAAATAAGGATTTCATCGTTAAACGTTTTACAACTATTTCCCAACGAAAGGATTTCAAAATATTTTTTTGATTTTATTATACGAAGTTTAAGTCTCTAAAAAATCTAAATGTTAACCATTTTTGCCCAACAAAGTGTTTTATTTCGTCGGATAAAGTTACTTTGTCCGACCAAAGTCGGTACGTCAAACAAAAGGTAATTTTCGGTAGAGCATCATGTACTTCTAACCCGGTATTGTCACTGAAGATGAGTATGATGACTTTATTGGAATGTCAATAGTAGCAATCAATAAATATGAAAGTAAATAGACATAAAATCAATAAGACCTTTAGGTGTAACAATCAAGTTTTATTAACTAATTATGTATTACAATGTAATAGATACACATATTTGAATACAAGTGACGTTGTAATACTACAATGTATAGTATGATGCTCCCACCTAAGAATTTTCTCATAAAACGAATTAATAGTGTTAGTATATGAATGACTTGATAACAACATGTTGATTAATGTTACGGTAGCATGACACTCACAACCAAACATTTCTCATACAACTGGATTAAACCATTTTTTCGAAAAAAATAGCTGAATCATTACAAGATTAATTAAGAACAATCGTATAAACAATTTATATTTGGCCTTTGGCCATAATAAAGTTGGATAGTTGTTCAATCCTTGAGTACATTAAACAAGTATTCTTTAGCAAATTCACCGAAATCCAAAATCCAGAAGCATAATCCACACTAGTACCTACCCATTTCTAACTTAGTATCGAATACATAAACTACCTGAGTGAAATGGTTGGTGTAGTCTTTATTTTCCACTAATGAAAATGAGAATTTCTGTCGACGAAGGTTGGTTGAGTTCGTAATCATGTTGCCAGTAATTCCTTAGAAGAAAAAAAGACAACGAATTTGCTAGAAAATGACTTTTCGAAATTAATAATTCTTTAGAAAAGAGAAAATGACTGAACAATTGCCAAATCAAAGAGCAGCCATATTGGCTTTTTATGAAATACTCCTGATAACTGTTTAGCAGCCAAACTTTGCTCATTACCATCCTAAACTACACCAAGCTTAAGAAAAAAGTTTGATTTCGGAACAACTAGAGGAGGATACTCTAACCACTGGTCCACGACTTGCAATTAGAATTTTTGAGGGAAAGGTACGATATTGATTGATAAAAAGTAAAATACGTACAATATTGAGAATAAAGCATATAACAATAGGTATCGACAAAAATCTTGTTGGAATTTTAACCTGATCGAAGAAAAAAAGAGTAACTTACACCGTAAAAAGTTAACTAGTACTATCCTCGATAAAAATATTTGCAATTATATCAAGTGGTTCTTTCAACTAAGTTGTACAATCATTGACACTCAGACTAAACCGTGCAATCCTGTGTGCTATCTTGTTTGCCTACCTTTCAATATTTAAACTGTTAAATTTATTTTTTATTTTTTTAAACAAACAATATTAGTTACATTATGATAAGCAGAGTGAATTAAGTCTTACAATGATTCAGTAATAATATAGTTCAAATTCGTTTTTAGCAAGAATCAAATCTAAGGCCGTTTATTTACTAATGAAAAGAAATACTATTAGATAGTAATACTAAGCAACTGTTAAATTTGTTAAGCAGGAATAAAAAAATTTCAACAAAACAAAGAATAAAAAAATGAAAAGAAACCCAAGAAACTGGAGTTGCGTGTGGAGTGCCGTTAGGACCGAGGTGTTGGCAGTGTCCACGTAAAATAATCCAACTAGGATAACTGTTTAGCAGCCAAACTTTGTTCATTACTATCCTCAGCTACACTAAAGCTGAAGAGAACAGTTTGATTTCGGAACTACTAGGGGAGGATCCTCTAGCCACCGGTCCACGACGTGCAATTAGAATTTTTGAGGGAAAGGCACGATATTAATTGATAGAAAGTAGAATACGTACCATATTAAGGACAAGGTATATAACAATGGGTCTTGATACAAATTTTGTTGGAATTTTAATCTGATTGAAGAAAAAAAGAAAACTCTACACCATAAAAAGTTAACTAGTACTATCCTTGATAAAAAATATTTGCAATTATATCATGTGGTTCTTTCAAACTAAGTTATACAATCATTGGAACTCAGATTAAACCGTGCAATCCTGTATGCAATTTTGTTTGCCAACCTTTCAATTTTTAAACTGTTAAATTTTTCTTTTTTTTTATAAACAAACAATATTAGTTATAATATGATGAATAAAGTGGGTTAAGCTTCAAAATGGTTAAGTAATAATGTGATTCAAATTCGTCTTTAGTAAAAATCAAATATAAAACCACTTATTTACTAATGAAAAAAAATATTAGATTGTAGTATTAAGCAATTATTAAGAAGGAATAAAAAAATTTCAACAAAACAAAGAATAAAAAAATGAGAAGAAACCGAAGAAACTGGAGTTGCGTGTGGAGTGGTGTTTGGACCCAGGTGCAGGCAGTGTCTACGTAAAATAATCCAACTAGGACGTCCCGCCTTATAGGATAAGCATGATATTTTAATTTCATAAACAAACATAAAACCCAATATAAAACAAAGCAAACGTAAAAGATTAAATACTTAACAACTATGAGGTGGTCCAGTGTTCGAGAAAGAATTTTAGACTTGTATTTTACAAGGTATGTTTTGAGTTTGATTTTTATATTTGGTAAAATCGTATGATGATGGCATACTAACTAAAATTTTTTCTATGAGTTTTCTCGATTCAGCTCTCTAGAAAGGTTGATCGATGCGGCGAAACTACCGGCTAGTCTATTTAAAAAAAAAAAAGATAATTAAATACTAATTTGAGAGTTAAGTCGTGAGTGAGAGGGATTACAATTCTCTCTTCTTCTTTTTCCGTTCTCTTCTTTCATATTTTCTTATTTTATCTTTTTTTACTATAAAAAATTAATATAAGATGTTAACGTAATTTAATCGTAACTGTTCAAATAAAAAAATAGAAATGAAAAAAAAAAAAAAAAAAAAAAGAATCTTACTTCGAGTAAAGATCCCTCCAAAACCGTTGGCGAATAGGTCATGTACTTTCTAGGGCGCCCACAGTCCCTACCAAAACCGGAAACCGACACCCTGTTTTTAATCCCCTCACCCGGTTTTTTCCGAAACCAGTACGACCTCCCGAAAACCAGGAGCTTTTTTCACCTTTTTCTACTCCAGCTTCTTCTATAATTAATTTCCCTTTTTTTTCTTTTTTTTTTTTTTGAAGAAAAGAAATTTAGCTGTTTCCTTGGACCCCACCCCACTGATATGTGGCGATTCGACCGCAGCCTTGCACCTCAACGTGGCTGCCACGCGCCACTTCCATTTTTTAATTAATTAATTTGTTTTTGTTTTTGTTCCATTAAAACAGCGAGCTCTTGGAACCCGATTCGACCGCACCCTGACACTGAACGTGCCTGACACGCGCCGCGCTCTTCCCTCCTCTGGTTTTGTTCCTATCTGCATGCCTCTCCACTCTTTTCCCCACCTGTCTCTGCCTCCGCCGTGCATTTACCATCTTACCCTCACCACAGCAATCGTAATTTCTTTGAACTATCTAAATCAAAGTTCTTGAGTGTAACATACTAATGTTACACTTACTATTTATTCGTAACATTTTTTTTAATAAAGGTAGGATCCACTGATATATCTAATCTTATCTATATTGAAGAGATGATACGAATAAATGATAAGAATAACATTTTTGTTTCAGAAATTCTTCTCTTTCATAATGTACACTAAACATCAAACATCATTATAGAAGTTAACTGATAAATTTCTCACCTACGAATGAAGAGATCACTAATATTATAATGGACTACTAATGTGTCTATAATCTTTTGTTTATGATGAGGTTCTTCACACATCCCTTTTTATATTTGACACACATCTCTTTATTTTGACTGTCGAATTGGATTCATGGAAAAATGATCAAAATACAAAAATTAATAAAAAAAATTATGTGAAAGGTACAAAGAAGTGTGTGTGAATTACACTATATTTTATTTGGAATAATGCTAAGGAGACCAAATGTAAAAGGTCCAAAAAGTGCGAAATACACTATATTTTATTTAGAGTAATGCTAGGGAGATCAAAATTTTAAACTAAAATTTGCAAACCAAATAATGTGTTATCAATAAGAAATAAGCACGTTAATCAACGTTTAAGTAATAATTCAATTATCAATAACCAAATTATTTAGTTTATAAATTTAATTTAAAATTTTGATATAAAAAATTTAACCTCCCTACTATTGTCCTTTTATTTGTTTATAATTACCCACCAAATATTTCAACTTCAAAATTCTTGAAATTGCAAAACCAAAGTAGTTTTCCCAACTTGACACCCATCCCATCAAAAGGGTGAATCCCCAAAACCCAAGGGAGGGAAGCAAAGGCTCCCACTAATTGGGAGTTAGCGTCACGCGCTGAAATCGAGAGTCATGAAAGAAATTAGTACAATGGATTAAGCAATAATAAAAATGATTAAAATATCTAAACTAATGAATCTTAATCCTTGAGTGTGAAAACCAGTGTCTTATTTTGCACACAATTAAAAAACAGCTGCGTCCCCCACCAGCCAGTGGGCAGAGAGAGAAAAATAGTAAACCCAGCAGCTCACCCCATATAAACCCAACCGCGCACCCTTCTTAAATCCCCCACCCTCCTCCTCCTTCTCCAAAATCCTAAACCCAAGAACACCACTTTCTCTCTCTAAAAATCCTAAGATTCTCTCTCTAAATACCCAGAAAAACCCATCTCTCTGTTTTGAAGAAGAAGAAAGCGAAAATGCGGATAAGCTGTAATGGATGCCGAATACTCCGCAAGGGCTGCAGCGAGAATTGCAGCATCAGGCCTTGCTTGCAGTGGATTAAGAGCCCGGAATCCCAAGCAAACGCCACCGTCTTCCTCGCCAAGTTCTACGGCCGCGCCGGACTCATGAACCTCATCAACGCCGGCCCCGAACACCTCCGCCCTGGTCAGTTCTCTTTCTCTTTTGATTTTTCCGGTTGCATGTCGTTATTTTCCGCCATTTTGTTTTCCCGAGAAACAAACACAATACAGGGCGCTAATAGTTTTTGCTTTTGGTAATACAGCCATCTTTCGGTCTTTGCTATACGAGGCATGCGGTCGGATTGTGAACCCGATTTACGGGTCGGTCGGGTTGTTGTGGTCCGGGAGCTGGCAGCTCTGCCAAGTCGCCGTTGAAGCCGTGCTGAAAGGCCAGTCGATTACGCCGATTACTTCCGAAGCGGCGGCGAATGGGCATGGTCCGCCTCTCAAGGCCTACGACATTCGCCACGTGTCCAAGGACGAGAACTCGGCCGCGTCCAACGATCCTCAGAAGGTTAAGACCCGGTACCGCTTCAAACGGTCCGCTGTCAAGCCGAAGACCAATAAGGTCGGTTCCGGCTCGGGCTCTGGCTGTGCCTCGGGAGCGGATGAATCGGCCAAGCCGAGTTGGACTGGCTGCTCTGCGGACAAGTTCAACCGGTCGATGAGTCACGAGTCATCGCTGAGTCACCAGTCCGAGGCGGCTGCCACCGTGGACGGTGATAGCAAGGAATCGGAGAGCATGATTTCGTCCGAGACGGCTGAGGCTGAGCTCTTTTTCCGAGCCGAGCCCGAGTCGGCTCGCAAGCGGACAGAGTCTGTTCAGGATGGGGAGCTAGCTTTGGAGCTGACGCTTGGGTTGCAGCCGCAATCACGTGCCAACCACGTCGTTCCGGTGAAGAAGAGAAGAATTGAGGCTGGCTTCGGCGGCGTATCGCCGGCTGACGACGGCGCGTGTAAAATAGAGCTGGGGCTGGATTACGTGGCTTGAACGGTGGAAAAAAAAAAAAAAAGGAAACGTTAAAAACGGTTCAGTTTTGACGGCTCAGATCGGTTCTTTTGTTTGGCATTGAAGGGATCAAGACCCCTACTTTTGTTGTTTTAAGTTTCTAAGTTTTGGTTTATTACCTTTTTACCCTTTGTGAAGCTGAGGTCAGTTGTACAAATGTGGTTTTGACTTTATCCTTGAACTTGCATATACAAGATGGCAAATGAACAGAGGGACAAAAACTCAAAATCTTTTTCTTTGAAATTTACATTTTACCAATCTATCATCCTTAATCCCCAAAAATCTATCAGGAAAATACACCGATACTATGACGTCGGAACAACATTTTCATGAGAGTAGAGTAGCCAAGTAAGAACAAGTAGAGAGACGAGTAGAGTACAGTAAAGTACCAGGTGGGCATGGAGAAGGATTCCCTCTCTCTTCTTTCATTTTCTTCTATTTGTACGGTTTAGTTATGTATCTTATATTGATTTTTTTATTGATTTTTTTTATTAGAGATAATAAGATAAAAAATAATATATGAAAGGAGGTGAGGGAAGGGAGTGAGAAGAGAATCCTCCTCCGGTGGGCACTGCATGAAGCCTTGGTTTCCCTTGGACACATGGCGTTGCGCATGCAAAAGGCCTTTGTCTGGTTTTATGGGTTTGTTTCGCCAAAGTGAAGGATAAGGATAAAAATCTAGAACGGATACCATCTTTTTCTTCTTTTTTCCATCTATTATTAGTCTCCCTTTGAGTTAGTTTGAGTGCTGATAAGGAGAACTTGTATGGTGGCACGTCACATCGGCATTGCATAAGTTACATTGTATTATATCAGTTATCTGGTTGTTAAATTGGTAATTTTATTTTTTATAGATGTCTATGAGTATATCATGTGGGTGGGTTTAGAAGTATCCGTTGCTTTTGTCTTGATTGTTAATACAAGTGAAGAAGTCTTAAGTTTGATTTTCGTTAAAGGCGAATTTTGAACCACATTATTATTAGTTCATTATAAAATTTAGCCTATTCTCCCATCCTCTTGAACGTAGATAATATCGTTTGTTAAAAAAAGTTGTGCGTTGAGGCTACAATGCTATAATGTATTGAATATTTTGTCATTTAAAGCCTTTAAATCCATGTCAACGGCTTTTCAATTTTCTCCCACTACAAGATTGTAAAACTTTGCAAGTTGTGAAGTGTTTTGTTGTGCGTGTGTTTGTGTTAATTGTAACTCTTTGAATTGTTAAATTTTGTAGTCTCCTATTTTGTCTGATTTTTCGGTTGATATTCAATACTCTGGATACTTCGCCGCTTAGAGCCCTTATTTCTTTGATAAGTATGTGATTGGATCTAAGGCAAGAAGACCAGCAATGCTTTATGGCAAAGAATGTTGGGCGGTGAAGTATCAACATGTATATAAAATGTGTGTGGCAGAGATGAAAATGTTTCGTTGGATGTGTAAGCACGCAAGAAAGGATAAGATTAGGGATGAGGATATCAAAGGTAAAGTAGGAGCAGCCGAAATTGAACGAAAGATGAGAGAAAATCGGTTATGGTGGTTTGGACATGTGAAATGAAGGCCTGACGCTCCGGTTAGAAGATGTGATTACAGAACAAAGGTTCAGGGCCGAAGGGGTAGAGAAAGACTGAGGAAGACTTTGAAAGAGACTCTAAGAAAAGACTTAGAGTACTTGGATCTAACGGAAAATATGGCACATAACCGAGCGCAATGACGTTCTAGGATTCATACAGCCGACCCACTTAGTAGAAAAAGGCTTTGGTGTTGTTGTAACTAAGGCTCTAAGTGACGGAGTACTTAATACTTTAGAGTTAATATAAATTTTCATAAGCTGTGAACTACTTTTCGTGTGTGTGTTAATTATAGCATTGTAAAATTTTGTAGTCTCTTATTTTATTGCGTTTCGCTCTTTAGTCTCCTTACATTCTGCCTATTTGTCATGATAAAATGTCGTTCTTTAAACACCAAAGTTCAAATTTCATTTGATGTAAAATGGAGTACCTTAGAATAGAACATGCCCTTGTTAAAAGGAAAAACCACATAAAACCCCAAATTCCTCAATTTTTAAGCACCGTTTTGTAGAAATTATGGGACTAGTGAAATACCAAAACATTCTTAAGAATTGGCCCCTGAACCAAAACAAATGGAGGAAAATGACGGAGGAGGACCATAGCGCGACACTGACTAATTGGGGTTTGAAGGCCCAGCTCACCCATAAATCGATATCAAATGAGTAACTGTGTCCCAAAATTTAGAGTAATAATATCGCTCGTAGTAAAAATGAAGATTAACCATAATAACAAGTTGTTCTAAACAGTATGTAACAAAAGAACCAAAAAAAAAAAAAAAAAATTCTACTTTCTATTACTAGGAAATTCAAAAGAAGAAATCCTCAGAGACTTGAAATGTGTAATTGAATTGAAAGATTACAAAGCTAGGGATCCTATATAGTGAAAACTGCCTTGTTCTAAGCTAAATTTTCTGGTTGCTGCAATGAGGCTTATTTTTCAGACGCTCTTTCTTTAGTGCCATAAATTTAGCTGCTATGTCATCATACTCAGGCAGCTTAGGGTGGACGTGAGTAGGATACTGGAAGGCGTCGGAATATGATCGTTGAAAGTCTTCTTTGTGATTGTCCTTGGCTCTTTCAGGCGGCATTGTCACGGTTCTGAAATAAGGAGGCACCGTTTCCTTTCTTGCACTCCAAGAATTAGTCACATTTGGAGATGTAGAACCATATGAGGCACGCCTACATCGAAAATGCGATTCCTCCACTCTTCCTTTCAGCACCTTGTTTTGCGTATTGGGATGCTGATGATCCGGATATGTGAAAACATTGTACAGCATAGCTTCATTGCCATAGCTCTTCCTCCTCATTCGCTCTCGAGGCACTGCACGCCATTCGACTCCCCTGTTCAATTGTTCATGTCCATGAGTTGGAAATCCAACCCTAGTTGTAATCCCTCTCTTTTGCTTCCACGGTTGAACTTTACAATCAATATTTTCGTCCTTTCGGATGGGAAAATAACATGGATTTCCCAGAGTGCAGCCACAGCTTAATATTTTTGTATCAGTTCCACACCTACTTTGATTTTTCAGATGCTTTCTGCCATAGTAACTTTGACATTCATTATCCTTCAACCATTGATTTTCCTGAGAAACCGATCTCTTCCTCAGTCTTTTCCCACTTCCCTTCCAACTTGATCTCCTAGGGCTTTTTGACTCGGAATTCTCACTCCACGTCTCATAACAATCCACAAAGCTGAGATCACAACTGCTTTCGAGAGTCTCCCTCTTCGGTGTGATAGCTTTGAACTTGAAGAGTCTTTGGTCCTGGGAGTCTACATCTCTTGTTGTAGAAAACTGAACCTCTTCTATGTCATCAAGGTAAATCACAATATCTCCATCTCTTGTTGTAGCATGACTTGTGCTGCCAGAAGTACTGCCCCGACTTTCTTCGGTGCCCGGGGTAGATATATTTGGAGAACCAACTTCGGAAAAATTCCCTTCAATCAGTGGCGTAGCTAATGAAGAACTAGCAGAAGTTCTAGATAAATTAGAATCAGCATCTACGAATTCTCTTTCGATTTCTTCAACATTTAAAATTTGCATTTCAGATGTTTCGGTCTGTTCATAATAAGTCTGGACATCCGCATCCAATACTTGATGTCCACTGATTTCCTTCACCTAATGTGCATTGAACAAGGGACTCAAATTCTAAATTTTAAGTATGATAAAAGCTATATAATAGCATAAATGCTCTATACATATATATTTATTGAAGTATGTAATTTGTAATTACCTTTTGTTGCCATTCTGAATAGTACTCAATGGCCAAAACCTCTGGTTTGATGCAGTAATTTCTTGCTATTTCACTGACCAATACATGCTTCATATCATCTGTTACCGACTTTTTGGAGAGTTTCTCTATTACCTGTAGTTTTGGATTTTGTTAGTTCACACCCTCATGAGACCAACAGAAACACCCTTTAAAAAAATTTGTTGCAAAATCGTATAACTTGACATCGTACCTCACGGTTCACCAGATTCCCAGGGAGTAGTTCAAGAGCACCCATTGTGAATTTCTGCCCGTGGCGTTCACCGAATAGCTTCCTGATCCCCCGTAGCTCAGGCAGATCCCCACATCTTGCAGAAGCATATATAAGACTTGAAACCGCCTCATTTATGTCATTTGGGCAGTCCCTGAAAAACCACACATTGCAGCAAAAACACAATTACTTGAGATCAAGTGGAGGAAAACACAAAAACTTAGGAACAAAATAGGAAAAATTCAAATCAAGGCATACTTGCGTCTGCGGATGTAAGGAAGGTGGATGAGGATGAATTCACAGAAATTGTCCAACAATTCATACAATGCTACTACGGATTCGTCTTTGATTATCTGCTCAACCTGAAAAATGAGAAATGTGAATTTATTTTCCATGCAGCATAAATTTAATGGTAACTTGTAGCACATAAGCACACCTAAAGTGTTAATAGTAATTTGACAATAAAGTTTTCTCGGTAGCACTTTAATTTAACCGCACCACTTTTGTCACCCCAAATTAGAGAACTAAAACCAACGAGAAAGAAAAGTAAAAGAATCCCAGAAAACATAGAATTGTTGGCATCACAATAATATCAAGAAATTCCAACAAAAGCATATTTTCTGGTCGTTGTACTTTTATGTTTTAACTAACAACTTTCTTAACCAAAAGTGCTTCTGGGGGAATCACGGAATTCAGAATCAAAAAATGGTAAACGAACTCAGCTGCCAGATTAGTTCAACCAACTATATTTATTGTACCATTAAATAATTAACTAAAATATTCATGACGAATTAAATGAGAAAAACAGAGAAAATGTCACGGGGTTTCAACTGTTACATTCATACCCTGTTGAAGGCTTTGTCTTCGTGACCGCATTTGATCAGCTCCGCCACGTCTTCGCGTAGTTGCCTCACAATTGTTTGTCTCTTGTTTTTCAGCAACTTGAGCCGGCACTGCACCTCTTTGGTCAGCCTCTTGCTGTGACCGAAAAACAAGCACACACATAACAAAACAATGAGTTTGGTTTATAGAAGAAGAAACCATGATACATTTCCAACAAAAGAAAAACAGCTTCAAAATTGCAAGTTTTGTAGTGAATTACCACTTCGAAGCCTTTCGCCACCCGAATAAGATGTCAAACATGTCTACAATTGCAGAACAAATTTTGGGCTGTTTTGAAGGTGAAAGAACAAAATGGTAGCAATGAAAACCAGCTTCATTTGCAGCTAAAGCTTTGAGGAATTATGGGAAAGAGAGAAAATGTGAAGGAGAGAAGTTGAAGAACTAGTAATTACCATGACAGTTGCGTAGTTGGGTTGATCAATTTAGGAGTGGGTTTGAGAAGGTTTATAGCGAGAGAGAGAGAGAGAGAGAGAGAGAGAGAGAGAGAGAGAGTGGAGGCACGTGACAGTTGTTGGTCTCCTTGAGAAACTGCTCCCACTGCAAGTCTTTCGGGACACTTGTGAGGCCACTACGGAAGCCCTCGTTAATAGAGATTAGGCAACGGCACATGGGGCTAAATTTTTTGCAAAGGTCCGTTTTTTAATATAATTGTGATAATTGTGTGTTGAAAAGAAAAAAGGCTCATTGTTGATCATTGAAGAGACAATCTAGGAAAAAGGATTGCATAATGATGATGACTCCAAGAGGAGACAAAATGAGAAGGGAAAAAAAAAACCCCAATTGAAGTTTCTTGATCAATAACTTACTATGGATTATGGTTTTGATTTATTTTATTGACATGGGTACTAAATAGACAATAAAACATGTTATGGACTTGTTTGAAAGTGCTTCCTGCAACAGTTATTCTTCTTGCAAGAATCATTTCAAGTGTATTTTTAAGATTCACTTGCATTTTTGTTAAAGTTTGGTACCAAAAATATTTTCACATTTCAACCATTTTAAAAGCACTTCCAAACATAATCATAGTAAAAAAAATATTATATTTTTAAATGTAAATTTGTTCTTTTTAGCAGAAAAAGTTCTATTTTCCATAATGTTGATTTTTTGAAAAACTTATATAGGTATATTTCCTTGTTTTCTGTTGAAAATAAAGAAATTGTTGATCAAGCCAAATCACAACAATCCCTGAAAATTCATCTCGAATGAAGTCCGCCGGCTCCAAGTGGTCATGAATCAATTAGAAAGTGGCAAAATCGCAAAAACACAAAAGCTATATAAACACGGGCTGAAAAAAAAAAATTAAAAAAAAATAATAATAAAAAGACCGAATTGGACGAAAATTGGTTACAGAAACTTCGATAGCAGAAAGTTTATATAGGCATTAAGATTCCTAATTTCAGATAAAGATGAAAATATTGTGTAATGAAATTGTGCTCCTTGAATAGTAGGTGTTTGTTGAAAAGTTTCAGATTCGACTCACATGAAAACATAAAAAAAATTTAGAAGTTGTGCTTTTGGCCTATTGCATGGCTTAACTTGACCATGTGTATCATTCTAATTTTATCGGATGTTTAAAAAAAAACACTTAATGACTCTCTAATACATTAAAATATCGTTGAAAAAAATAAAAAACATAAAAATAAAATGTTCCAAGTGTGAGTTTGCCTTTTTCTTTTTTGAAAGAACAAGAGAAATGGTTAAAATCTTTTAACCACGACTAAAGAGTGCAACGGAAAGACGTATTACCCATAACATTATGGAGCCAAAAAATTGGTATGGTTGGGAACAAGCTCTTTAAATAGAATTACCTAACTTTAACTAACACTGAGACCTTTTGTATTAAAGCTCCACACCTGATGGATTGAGCAGGTGGCCAAGTGGGGACAATATCAGTATTGTTGGAGTGGGCCCCTGACCCGCCTACCTGAAATTTAAGATGGTATCAGAGCCAGGGGACGGCCTTGTACTGCCATGTGAACGGGTGGTCACCTTTGACCCCGCGCAAATGGGTGAGCCCCGACTTGGTTCCACGCAGCCAAGAGATGCCACGTGAATGGGTGGGTCCCCATTGGCCACGTGCGAACGGGTGAGCCCCGGCTTGGCTCTACATAGTTGCCGATGTGTGGAACTTCACGCGTAACCCCTAAAATAGGGTCTCAAGTGCGGGGGAGTGTTAGAATTCCTCTGTCCTACATCGGCTAGAAAACTTGAGAACAAACCCTTTAAATAGAATTACTTTACTCTAACTAACACCGTGGCCTTTTGTATTAAAACCCGGCACTTGACAGATTGAGCAGGTGGCTAAGTGGGAATAATATCGATGTTGTTGGAGTGAGCTCATGGCCCGTCTACCCGAAATTTAAGACAACCTTAACACACACACGCATTGACGTTGGACCCCATCTGATCATTCTCCTCCTTGTCGGATAAAAGTGATAAAAGAAAATTAATATGTAAACGCAGAAGCTCCTTCACCTAAACAAAAGCACAAAATGGCTGCGTGGTTGGTTGTTTTCCAGGAATAGGTAATCAAACCCACCTCTCTCTCTCTCTCTCTCTAAAACTAGTAATTTATGAGTAACTGTTGAGCTGGTGACCAACTGATGCCACAGGGGCATGCTGCATACATGAGAGATGCCATGCAATAAGGTGCAGACCTGCAGTGTTGAGTTGGGGGAGCAAAGCATGGCGTGGTGGATAAAGGCAAGCTCCAATGATGAATAATGATGCCCAATTTATAAGATAACCAAAAAGGTGGCTTGCTCACTCTCACAACATTCTTTTTGTTGTGTTTCTTTTTTTGATAATCGTTAGTGCACTCCGCACAATGGAATGGATTCTATTCCTCTTTTCTTCTTCCCTTTCTCTTCCTTTCTCATATCCTTCTACGTAGTTAATATAGTATCGGTAGCAGTCATGGTTTCCGTTATTTCGATTGCGTGCAACTAGATTGAGTTTTCCTCATGTTCTGTTATTTGATTTGCTGATTTCTTGTGTAGTATCAAATCTAAACAACTTTGTTGTAGCATGTACGTAACAATAATGTTTGCAAGAAATTAATAAACCACGATGCGCAGATACTTCCCCAGTTTTTTATTTTATTTTTATAGAAATTTGAGATGTAAAAGCCATAAGATGTAATGAGTATTTTATATCTCATTCATTGATGTGTTTTCGGACAAACAAGAAATGTAAAATATTTACATCTCCAACAAGAGAAGCTGTGTTACCTTGCACTTACAAGTGGTAAGGTGGACTGACCCGACTACACAAGGATCTCCAAAACAAGAGGAGGCATGCATAAACTAACAACCAAACCAATCCCGGCAAAAAGAAAGAAAAATAAGCTCCCCAAGTTGATCCAAAAAAGTCTTTAGTTACGCTGTTTTTAAACATCGGTGTTGTCGCAATGTAAATTTTTTTTTTTTTTTTAACAAACGATATTATCTATACTAAAGAGAGGGTGAATTTAGTCTCATAATATGTTAGCAATAATGTGGTTCAAATTCGACTTTGGCAAGAATTGAACCTAAGACCTCTCACTTACAAGTATAGAAAAATATCATTAGACCGTATTACTAAGTAGCATCGGAATGTATTGTTTACTATTTGATAATCTAAACATTTGTCTAACAATAAGGACATTACTCTTTTTTTTTTTTTTTTTTTTTTATGAGTACATCAATATTTTTACAGTAGGAGAAGGGGCAATTCCGCTAAGCTACACAATGAGTAGCCTAATTTGATATCGAATTTGTCATCTATGAGATTCGAACCTAAAATCTTTCATATTACTTATATACACATTTCTTTTGGAAAAATGTATCACACATATTTTTAGGATCGTTAATGGTTTGGGCCGAGCCTTCGCCCATTGAGTTCCAGCCGGCCGTCTGGACTCTGGATCCCTGCAACCAAATGATGACCCTTACGTGTGTGTTGAAAATTATTGATGAATCCCAATAGCTAGGGAGATGTCAAATACCACGTTCATCTGAACGAGTGTTTTTAAGTAGAAAAACAATGTTAGTGGATTCGATAGTTGTTATATGAGAAGGAAATTGATGGGATCGAACCCGTATATTCGTATTTGACACAAATAGATTATAGTATATGGTTTACAATTCAATTGATCCAATACATGTTTTCATGATCAATTTCTTCTCGAAATTGAAGGGAAAAAAATATTTGCAAAACTATGCATGATCTGATAATTAATTACATGTTTCTGACCCCATGAACCTTCCTACATTAGTGTTGTAACACTTATCTATACCAATGCATGCACCCACAGAAAGCAAATTAAGATTTGGTTTTGTTTGCTTTCCTGTATATAGGACACATGTATAACAAGGTGGTTCTTGAACAAAAGCACCGATAAACCATGCACGTACGTCCAAAAAAACGTATTTTCACAAGGAAAAATTAGTATCTAAACTTTATTTACTAATATTCATTAACTGAGACCTTATTAGTTTTAGATTTAGACGAAGTCCTTAGCTTTAATGTGTTAATGAATTTGCATGTAAGTTACATAATTTGTTAAAATAAAAATTAGTAATACCCACGCCTTTATTAAACTCCTAACTAGTATATGCGCCCACACACAAAGTGTGTAAAATTTTTTACTTTTGTTTTTAAAATTGAAGGAGAGATGAAGAAGTGAGAGAGAATGTGGGAATGGGGATAGAATGTGAGAGGTTTATTTTTTATTTTTTATTTTTTTAAATTAAAGATGATAAAATCACCTGCAGGTGAGGGCTTAAACAAAAAAAAAAAAGCAAAATTTTACTTTGTGAAATTACGTTATTGTCCTTAATTTTTTTTGTTGTGATAGAAGACAAAAATATATTTTCACCTCTTTTGGTTGACAAAAATAGTTTCATCAATATATAGTTTAGATTAATTTTCAATGCAAAACATTTCCAAATGAAAAAATAAATTAGAATAAGTTTCTACCCATTAATTTTTTATAAAAATATTTTTAATGTTTTAATCTTAAATGTACTTTCATATAATATTTTTATTTTTTTTAATCTTAAATGTACACATTCTTAAATATATCAATTTTTTTATATGTAAAATGTATCATTTTTTAATATAAAACGTACCCATGTTTTATATAAAATCAATTCAAATTTTTTTTTTCTAATTCTTTTTTTTAAACTTAAATGGGTACATTCTATTTCGTTGATTTGAGAATGTATCAATGTCAAGTTTAATCGAAGAAATTTAATAATGTTATTAAGCCTAACATCTTCTTTTCTTTTTTTTTTTGGTTTTTGAAAAATGTACCCATGCTTTGGTACAATAATTTTTTTGGTTAATTTTGATGAATATACTCATGTTTATATATACATAAAATACATTTTTTTTTAAAGGGGGATAACTAGTGGCAAGCCATGGTTATCCATCATTTCGAGGGCCGAGAAGACTCACATAGACATTTCAGCCTCCCCTGACCATAGCCAAATAGACTTACCAGCTTTAATATAACCTTTAATATTTTTAATTCCACAAATTATGGGCTTAATTTAAAATCTCATTAATATAATCAACTACAAATTTCAAATTTTTATTTAAAAAATAGCCTACACGATAATATATTATTACATTAATGTCAAGAGCTTCCATCAAAAACTCAAAACCAACAAGGTTTCAATCAAAGCTAGAGAGCACATCCAAAATCCCTTTACACAAACTCTTTAACATGAAATCTTCTTCAATGATATGCAATCTATCTACATTTGAAAGAAAAAGGAGGGAAATTTTGTTGTGTGCAAGAACCACACTTTAACTGACCATACAATCGATCTTCCTCAGCAGAAATTAAGCAGCTAGCGAGCTAGCAAATAGCTTGCCTAATGCTTAACTTCCCACACCTTGTAAATTTTTTCTGAAATCAAAGTTATGACATTTATGTGGATTATCATTTTTTGAACTTAAATCCAAAATTAAAGTCATATTTAGTGTCTGAAATCTGTACTTTCTTATCTGGCTGGGACAAATTGTTGACAACCATGGAGGCATCGACGTAAATCCCGATTGGATTCAGCAACATATTGTATTTCCCAAGCCCTACATTGACCGGTACCCTAACCGAAACAGTCAAAGGGACCCTGCTACTCTTGATTTTCTCCATAAGTGACTCCCCAGTGGATCCCTGAAAGTCATTCCCTTTCAAGTCTCCGTTCAAATTCACGTTGATCATGGTGGTATTGCTCGTCGGTTGACGAAAATGTGGGACCACACCGGTACAAAGCTTCATCCCGGAATACTTGAGCTGCACGATGCTGCCCTTCTCATATATAATGGAGATTTTTTTGTTGGGATTCACAGCTTTTACCGTGACCATAAATTGCGCGTGGAGGTTGAAATCAGGGGTGACGTTGAATGCCTTGACAGAGAAGTCATTGATACTGTATTTGGGCACACTGGGATTGATAATTATTAGGCTGATGACCACGGCTGCAATGATCACCACTAGGGTTATGAAGATGCAGCAATAACAACAACAGTAGCATCTCAGACAACTGCTTTTGCGGTGCCCGTTGGGACGGTATTGGCCATTAAAGCGAGGAGGATTGCGGCCATGGGGACCTGGATGGCCTTGATCTTGGAGCATCACGTATGGCGGAGGGTGATTGGGGCCGGGGTGCATAATATTTGATAAATTTCGATGGTACGACTACCTAGGTTGCGATAGCAATTGAATCAAGAACGTATTACCTACGTAACCCTTCAATTACTTAATGTGCACGCATGTGCATGCATAGATTGGACGTACAACCTTGGTAAGTTTGGAGATCGAAGAAGAAAGAGAGGTACTTGATCTTTCTTCTTCTTCGATTGAATGATGGTCTGGTGGATGATGGATGGAGACCGAAGGTGGACGTCAATGTGAGGAAGAGGAGGTGGGATTTTCGTAGGGATATATATGGTGATTTCGATTGGTTAAGGACATTGTTATGTATGTGTGGGCATCGTCAAACATTGACTCCTGCTGGCCTTGTATTGTAATTGTGTGTCAAAACGGGTTTTGTGGGTTTCACCTACCAATTTTCTATTTTAGGCTAAAAATCATCCGCTAAATTTACTCCCTTTTGTTGTAACGAATGCAAATGTTATTTGAACTGATTTGGATAACTTCATTGTTAGTTACAATTTAATCAATATTACATACATAAACCAAATGATTTTCCTATAATCCAAATAGCGATTTACCGCGTTGACGGAAAACAATTTATTATAACCTACATAAACCAAATGATTTTTCTATAATTCAAATATCGATTTACCGTATTGGCAGAAAACAATTTATTATAACTGTGACTTGTTATTTTTCTTCAATTAGAAAATATTAGACGATTTCTTTTTAATGTTTGATGTGTTATGTATTTTTTTTTTTTTAACAAACAATATTATCTACAGTAAGGGGCAGGAGAGCTGTGACATCCCACATCGCCCAAGGGAGTGATCATTATATGTATATCTCATCCCTACCTAGCACGAGGCCTTTTGGGAGCTCACTGGCTTCGGGTTCCGTAAGAACTCCGAAGTTAAGCGAGAAGGGGGCTAGAGCAATCCCATGATGGGTGACCCACTGGGAAGTTGCTCGTGAGTTCCCAAAAATAAAACCGTGAGGGAATGGTAAGCCCAAAGCGGACAATATCGTGCTACGGTGGTGGAGCGGGCCCGGGAAGTGATCCGCCCCGGGCTGGGATGTGACAATTTGGTATCAGAGCCTAACCCTGGTCGCGTGTGTGCCGACAAGGATGTCGGGCCCCTAAGGGGGGTGGATTGTGACATCCCACATCGTCTAGGGGAGTGATCCTTAAATGTATATTCCCATCTCTACCTAGCACGAGGCCTTTTGGGAGCTCACTGGCTTCGGGTTTCGTAGGAACTCCGAAGTTAAGCGAGAAGGGGGCTAGAGCAATCCCATGATGGGTGACCCACTGGGAAGTTGCTTGTGAGTTCCCAAAAACAAAACCGTGAGGGAATGGTAAGCCAAAAGCGGACAATATCGTGCTATGGTGGTGGAGCGGGCCCGGGAAGTGATCCGCCTCGGGGCCGGATGTGACAAGAGCGGCTAAACCTTACAATGAGTTAGCAATAATGTGGTTCAAATTCGCTTTTGGAGAGAATCAAACCTAAGACCTCTCACTTACAAGTGAAGAGGAATACTAATAGACTGCAGTACTAAGTGGCGTGTTATGTGCTTATTACAACGAAACATTTATTATGTTTTTAGTGAAGTACTGCTGCCCACTTAAATTTTCACTTAAGGGCGCCTAGTATCCATCGTTTACTGCTAGAGCTATTGACGTATCTAATCCCATTTGCTCTTTTAGCTTTCGTCTCTTAGTGTCAGTGTCAACCCAGCAGGATGCTTTTGCCGTTGGTGTTCTTTTTTATCTATACGTATTTCATCGCTTCACCGAAAATTCTCTCTACCCCTAGCGTACTCCAGCTTAATTAATAGTTTCCACCACCTGTCCGGGGTTAGCTGCCAACATTTTGGTTAGAAAAGGGGCAGGTGGCTTTTAGGTTGATTACGGTAGTTTAAAAAGGAGAGGAAAAAAAAAAAGGTAGAAAGCAGCGGCCTGATATTAAAGGATTTTTTTTTTTTTTTTTTTTTTTTTTTGTGCTGTGCAAAAGTAATACCGAAGTTCTGATCAAGTATTTTTGTAAGCAAAACTTAATTTCAGTTAGGGTGCATGTAAGTTTTTACAGAAGGATTATGAATTTTGGGATATGACAATAATATATATGCACCTTGGTGCGGGTTTGATCTTAACCAATTTCCTTCTCGCCTAACATTTAACAATTTAACTCATTAACGTTATCGTTTATCAAAAAATGATCTCCCTACTCTTCGAATAACCAATTGCCAATGAATTTCCAACTTATCTCTGATAATTAACACGCAATTAAATATGAGTAACATTCACTTAAGAATCACTTCCTTCAATGAAGCCGGTGGCACTCAGGATTTATAACTTCCAGATGTAAGAATACTTACTCTACTAGTCGAGATTCCTAATTAACCCAATTTCATACCATCAAAAAAGAAAGAAAATATTTAATTTCTCCGCGGCATTGGAGAGGAGACGCGGATGGCCTGACTGCAGTTACAAGATCGGTAAGCTCCAATTCGAAAGAATGACGACACGAACTTCACCACAACAGTCTTAACCTTACGAGCCACCTTGTTTACCTTCATACATCTTAAGCGCTGCGATTTATCAGGTGATTCAAACTTGTAGGAGTTTAGGAATATCTGGCGCTTTTGCCTGGCTCGATCCTCATTATTTCTCAACGGAACATGTGCCACCTTCTTACGCTTAAAAGACATCGATCTTCTCCTTCCAGCACCATGCCTGCTTACAGTTCTCTTCAGTTGATCCAACGGCTCGTAATTGTAAACATCAAACCGCCGGCTCACATCAAACCGCCGGCTCATGCTGGCGGTGGCGCTGCGGACTAGGCTGTCCATGGCTCTGTATATGTGCTTAACTATGGACACTAATGATGAGATTAATTATTGAGCCGAAGAAGATTTTAGGTTGCTCTTGCAGTTCACTTGGTCTTATATACAAGAATTAAGTAAGAATTTTATTGTTGATTCTACACGTTTTCTTATGGTTTGAATCGATAAAATAAAAGTAATCGTTGACTGCTCTTCATTTTTTCGTTTTTGGCTGGCGCCACCACCCTCTTTATAGCAAAGCCAATTGTAACGTTTGAAACAGCAAGTCAAAACTCACGGCAACCACCAGGAACTTCCAGTAGTATTTGTACTACCACAGAATTACACGTGGCACACACCCATTGTTTGTGATCCACCATTTAAGAATATATATATATATATATGGATTCTCTTTGTAGGGATTTTAGGGATCTTCACATTTTAACTGTTCATTGTAAATCGTGCGACAAGTTTTCGTTAAACTATCTCCAAAGGAGATGTCAAATTTTAAACCTAAAATTTAAATTTGAAGGCTTACGTTACATGGCACTTTAATATCTTTTAAACTTTTGCTCTCCAACCGATATGTCAAATTTTAAACATAAAATAATAATTCATGTACTTTTTTTGCATTGGGAATGAAAAGAAACAAAAGGAAAATGCTTTAAACTAATAAAAAATTAATAAAAAGCATTTAATAATTAATTAAAAAACTCTGACGGTGCTGTCAAATTTGGCAGCAAGGGGAGAGATGTCAATCCATGTCTTGCCACATTAGATTTGGCTTCTCGGTTGGAAAACATTAATGTTATCTTTTGTTACTGTTATTGATGATTTGGACAATTTGACATCTCATTTGGAGATGCTCTTAGGTACTATTTGTTTTTAATTTTAAATAAAAAAATTCAAATAATTTCTGATCGCATGATGTGCATTGAATGATTAGGATGTAAGGGTCCCTAGAATTATGCAATCCTCCGTCTCCCCCTTTGCTGATGTGGTTTTGCAACTTCACGTTTGTGTGTGCGCATATACAATGTTGAGGGATTGCAAGGTTTTCCAAGCAAAGAATTTTCGAGTAGTACTAGTTGTGGGAGTGGACAGAAGACCGACAACCATCCAGGAATCCCTCATCAGGCTTTCTCTCATGGAAGGTGAAGTTCAAATAATTCTCAAGGTGCAAAAATAGCATGAACCTAACATGTACTACAGGACTGGAGGCACTGTGCCACTCCAATATCTGATGCAAGATTATTTTGAACGTAAAAATTTTATGTTCGAATTTGCAAAACCACATCAGTAAAAGGGGAGACGGAGGACTGCGCACAACTAAGGTTTCTTACTTTTTAATTTTAGTTTTAATTTTTTAGATTTTATTTCAATTATTTTTTATCTTTAATATTAGTTTAAGTCCCCATAAGCATCAATGTAATTTAATGAATAAATAAGAACTATTGGATGTTATGTAATCAAAAGGCTTAAAAAGAATGTAAAAGTATTTGTAAAAATATTTGTCCCTTGATCCTATCCCTATATATATATAAGCTATGTTTAAGATTTTGAAGGGCATATAGTATTTAATTAGGTAGATGTAAACTATTCGATGATTTTCAAGCAAAAGTCTCTATCTGGAAGGGCAACACATGTATTTTAATATTGACTTTGGATTTTACTAACCTTTTTTAACAACAATATAATAAACGAATTTTAATGAAAAGTTTCCGGTACTGTTCATTTTAACGAAAAATCACATTTTTACACTAAAAAGTCTATCCTGGTATAATTCATTTTACTTTTTATTTTGTCTTTATCGTTAAGACTCAAAGTTTTCTAATCATTTTCATTCGTTTTTCCTATAATAAATTATTCCTATTACAATGGAGTACATTGGAGCATTGGTTCTTAAACGATGACTAAATTGTATAACAAACGAGAACTAACAGAATTAATTAGGATTTTTTAATTGATAAACCATGACTACAATTCAATCATAGTTTAAAAATTGTTGCTTCTATGTACTCGAGATCCCTCGATAACACATTTGCATTTTTAAATGGCTCGTCTACCAAATTTGAGAAGAGGACACCAACTCTGAGAGCTATATTGGGACTGGTGCTCATCGATTACGTAGTACATGCTTGGTGTGCAGCAGCCAGCATTACTCAGGCTTTTAGGCCTTTAACTAGCTTAAAAATATGGGCATCATAAATTTGAGTTCGCATGCGAATGTATTAAGTTCAGGACAATACATACACACATACATACATACATACATACATATACATATATATGATAATTGTTATTAACACTTCAAAAATTCTATTCTACACTACTCACAAGTGTATTTTTCTTTCTAATTATAGAAAGTTTGAAGTGCGAAATGAAATTATTGAAATGTTATACATATATATATATATATATTGTTATTAGAAAGAAACATATTGGGCTAGTATGCCAATGTTTTTTGTGACAAAAACAAAATCCTACTGGGCTAGTAAGCGATCAAGTTAAGGACATATCAGTGTTGACCTATTGGCCCATGTCTAAGAAATTTAACAACTCTTTCTTCTATGTTTGGCGAGAACCGGTCAATCCACATATTGAGACGAAATATATATACAAGGATATGCAGTAGAAGCCACCACCAAACAAAGGGGCTTTACCTGGGACGGTCCATGAAGAACAATAGAGTAGCTTATCAAGTTCACCAAATATAGCAGCTACCTATCCAGCAAGCGGAGGAAATGTTATTAATGGCAGTCACAACAGACCCACGGTGTGAAATTTATTATCAATCTTAAGCCTTCAATTTTTTTTTACAATAATACATTAATTAATAAAGCTTGCATTTATGGCTATGTATGAGTTTCCAAAGTGGAGTCAGAGTAGTTCACGTAAAAAAAAGGCACCATTTTAATTTAGTAAATTCTTGAGCAATTAGCCATATCACCATTCTTCCATGGAACCACAAAAGGCAAAGCTTGATGAGTCCTGTGACTATCTGTTACTGTAAGCATGCAATCTTGTATCTTTCATGTGATCCTTTCTTTTCGTACCACTTTTCTCCTGTGATTTGCTTCAATACTTTCTTCTTAATTTTCTCATTTCTCCAATCCTTCATGCCCTCTATATATTCATCCCCTTCAACCCTTTTCTTCTTACCATTCTCTCAATCTCCCAAAAGCCTCTCTAGCTTGCAAAACCCTACTATTTTCCGAAACAAAAGAGGAAAAAAGAAGCAAAATTAAACAAAATCTATGAAGGGTTCAATTTGTGTAGCTACATTTCTTGTTCTTCTTCTTTTACTTCCACAAGCCATGTCCGCAAGGCGCATAGCTCGGCCTCATTCACGTAAGATTACTCTCGATTAAACCTTCTTGTTGTAAACTGTGATTATTAACATTAAACATGTCTTAATTTTTCTTTTTGTTTTTTTACATTTTTTCTGATTGAACATTAATCTTCTCGTGTAGGTCATCATGGGCGCCATCTGAAGAGTACCATTAGGGAGGGATTAGTGGATAAAGAGTCAATTAATTACAAAAGAGTTAGGGGGCCAGATACACTCCAAGTGGCAGGGTCGAGCTTGCCAGATTGCTCCCATGCTTGTGGATCTTGCAGACCATGCAGACTAGTGATGGTGAGCTTAGTTTGCGCGTCAGTCGCTGAGTCTGAGACATGTCCAATGGCTTACAAGTGCATGTGCAATAACAAGTCATATCCTGTTCCTTAGTTCACCTGTCATTCACTGTGATTTTCAATGTCAAGTAATGTAGTCAAAGTTTCCTTCCTTTTTGGACCTCCAGTTTCTTTGCTAGGTAGAGATTTTGTGTAATCAAGAGTTTTGTTTACTGATGTTTAATATTACGAAATCACAAAAGACTTGGATTTTCTTCGTTTAGTGGGTTCAAATTATCTGAGTTACAAAGAGCTCTTAGTGTTCTCGATTTCGTACGTAACAAGTCAAAATTTGTTAAGCATACGAGGACACTATGAAAATAACTCCAGTGATGGCCTTTTTATAGTCACTATTATGCAGTTTGTCAGTAATTTGAAGTGGCCAAACCTCAAATTTGGGTTTGAATTTCTTTTTACCACACACCATACTATGTTACAGTTTTTATTTTTATTTATTTCTGAACAAACCTCTAATAATTGAAATTGGTTAAACTTACCCGTATATGAATCGTTCAATTAATCGTCATTAGAATCCTTGAGTCATCTCAAGTTCATCATAAATATTGAATGTGAGATTTACAACCTATATAGACCTGTTCATTTGGAGAGTTATTTGAAAAATTAGAATTACACACCATAAAGGCCAAAAAGAAACCAAGGGCCAAAATTACACCATTACTAGATATCAAACTCAATACATATATGTACATACAAGCCTGTTATAAAAAGGGATCTTTATTTTTTGGGTAAAAATGGGGATTAGTTATAGGGCTCATTTCATGTCGAACTTCAATGATCCGAACTGTCTATTTTGTAAGTCTAGATTCATAGATCACCCTTACGAAAATTCAATTTAATCCGAGATTATTTGCCTACTTAATCATCACAATAAAATTTCATTGTTTCTTGTAGAACAAAGTGTTCGTCAATTTCTTTAAACTCAATTAGATGTCTCAAATATTTTCAATTTGGTTAATATTTTGAAGGATGATTTATGAGGTCTAACTTGAAAAATAAACGATTCAAATAGTTGAAGTTCGATATGATAGGGTCCCACAACTAATTCCTTTCCTTAAAAGCTTCCTATGTATATATATAGTTCATACCGTCATTTATTTATCTGAGCGAAATAATGTTGGTTGGTATATATAAAACCTTCTCAAAGTAACATATTTTGGCTCGTGCGAGGCCACAAGGAACAGAACAAACCCGCCAAGGCCAAAAGAGAAGCACCGGAGGAAGAGCTAATATCTAGGCTGGTATGCAGGAAATTGACCGGTTTGAGTGCCACTTACAGATTGAGACAAAACTTCCCAAAACAAAACAATGCTTTTTTTTTGAAAATGCAAAACTGTTGGTTCTAAAAAAGCAAAAAAGGGATAATGTCATTCTTCTTCCTCCTCCTCTTCCTTCTGTATCATTCCTGCTCCCACCACCACCACCACCACTTTCTTCCAGTGGGCCCCGCCGTGACACCATCATCTTTAATAGAACCTCCACTGCCAACATGTCTCCTCAGATGCCATAGCAGGTACTCTCTCTCTCTCTCTCTCTCTCTCTCTCTCTCTGTATTGTATGTTGCAATGCAATATTTGTCTTGTCTGTCAATACCATGAGTGCTTGGGTCCCCACCTCACCTATTCAGAAAAGTTCAGAAAAGTTTCAATATTTGATCATAAATGATGAAAAAGGAAGCCCTTTAATTGTGCAATTAATCTTTTCCCTGTAAAAAGTTCCCATCTTCATAGCTTTTGGGGCACCATGCAATTATGCCATTATTTCATTACTTGACTTTCTGTGTCTTTCCTTGGTGATTTGGGGTGGGGAAAAAAAAAGGAAAAGTTGAATAATTGTGAGGGTGAATTATTGGGGTAAGGTTTATATCTCTTTTCTTGTTTATGTATTTTTTTTTTTTTTTTTTTGTATTATGAGAGATTTGGTTTATATCTTCCTGACTAGGTGTAATTTTTCGATATCAATAAAGTTTTCATTGTACTGTCGAGGTTTTCTTAAAAAAAAAAAAAAAAAAAAAGGGCGAGGTTGAATTATAGGAGAATACTGAGCATGAGTTGTTGGGTGCAATCATTTTGCCTTTGCCACAAATTTCTTTTCCCAATCCTTTTTGTTTTTTGCCTTTTTGCTTTCGGTTAAGGAGGGTGGAAGATGCTCTCTTTCTCTTCCTCTCTCTGGATATTGGCCTCCTCATGAGATTAAGGAAGCGTATACAATGCTTTCCTTCTTGCTCTTCCCTTCGCAAAGTAAGCTCTTAATTAGTCCCATCTCTCTTGTATTCTGTTTGTGTACCGAAGATTTGTGTTACCTGAATTTTTCTCATTGATGTTTACTTAGAGCCTTCTAATGATTCATGATAGACTTGCTGGTAATCTGAATTCATCTTTTACAATTTGATGCTAGAGACATCTGCTACTTTGTTTTACTTTTCCTCAGAAAGTGTTTGTATCAGTTGAAGGCTCTTATTTTTGTGTTGTGTTTGCCACACTTTTGTAAGGAGTTAGAATTTGCTTTTTGTCTGTGTGCTCTACATTCTATGTTAGCTTCTAAATGTTTGATGTTATGGAATTAGACTAGTGGTAAATGGATCGGTCCATAATTTGAAACCTTTTCTATGCTATCGTGTGTTATCCGCAACAATGGAATTAGACTAGTGGTAAATGGATCGGTCCATAATTTGAAACCTTTTCTATGCTATCGTGTGTTATCCGCAACAATTTATAAGTATTGAAATGCCACCAAATGTAGGTTGATGAGGATGAAAATTATAGGAGACGGAAAAAGTGCGATGAAGAGTTGGAATGGCCACACAATTCAACTCATGTCAAACCGCAGTTAGCTCAATGTTTTAGTGAGTAGAGTATTTCTCTTCCATTCAATTTATCTTTTGGCTCCCAACAAAGGAACGTTGTGTCTCATGTATTTTTCTCTCAATAATTATGGTGATGGCATTTACTTGGAAATGAGGAACAGAACACCTTTAGTTCGTGCACACATTTCATCTGTTATATCGGATGCATTTTGATGGCTTGAAGCAAATCTCTCTCGAATTGTAATATCGCTTGTATACACTGGGACCAGTGCTGCACTGATCATGTTCTTGTTAAACTACCAAAAGTTTATAATAAAATGTGCACCTGTGATCCTATTACACTCTGTTCACAAAATTTCTTATCTCACTAACTAGTTTTTAGTCATTGTAGTTAATGCTATGGTTGGACCACGATCATGGACAGGACTATTTACCCGCTCAAGTAACAAACGTAATGAGAAGCCAGATGACTACTCTTTGAGTCCTCTTCAGGTATACAGTTGTGGTGTTCTCCTGCCAACTCCTAAAAACTTGTATAGTTATATGTTAAACTGCCGTAGCGTGTCAAATAGTATGACTTCCTCACTTTGCATTTAAGAATTTTCTTGGAATTTCTGAAGACTTAAGCATACAATTCTATCTTTGGTCAGTTTTAGGTTCTTGAAGTTATGTACTTTGCTGTTATCCACTTTAATGGACTTCCAATATAATTCTCAACTTCTATGTACAGGAACAGAGACTTTTGAGGCTTCAAGCACGACTACAAGTACCTTTTGACGAGAATCGCCCTGATCATCAAGTATATTCTTCATGCTGGTTCAAAACATTTTCTTATTATTACTCTGGTCCATTTTTCTTGGTTTAATTTGGTTAAAATAAGTTACGATAGATTTTGATGATCGTTCATTGTTTATTTCATTATCTGTGATTTGTGTCTGGTAGAGAAACAACTTGCTATTATGACTACACCATTTGATTGCAATTTAGTTTTTTCATGCCGAAACTTCAATTGAAGTACAGGATTTAAATCTTGTCTTGTTACCAGTATGCTTCAGGAAGCCTAAACCCCTTTTCATTAGCTATTTGGTTCTATATCATTGAATAAGACTGTTATTCCATTTAACTTCAGGAAGCCTTGAAAGCATTGTGGCATGCTGCCTTTCCAGATGTTGCTCTGCGAGGTCTGATCTCCGAGCAATGGAAAGAGATGGGTTGGCAAGGTTCTAACCCCTCTACTGACTTCAGGTACCATTTTGTCCAATTGACACAAAGTTTGTCTGACACTGTGAAATTGAAATACTTCATCTTACTAGACTGTAATATTGCAATTCCACAGTTTATTCTCTTATAGTGAAATGCTCTCTTCAGGGGCTGCGGTTTTATCTCCCTCGAGAACTTGCTTTTTTTCGCCAGGATTTATCCAGTATGCCTTCTTGACTGTTGTGTAGCTGCTGCAAATAATCATATCTTCTTTTTCTGTGTCTTTAGCTTACTAATCATATAAATTCAAAATGAAGGCATCTTTCCGTAGGTTATTGTTCAAGCGAGACGGGAATCGAGCAACTTGGGAATACCCATTTGCAGTTGCTGGCATAAATATATCATTTATGTTGATCAAAATGCTGGATCTTTGCTCAGGTTTGTAAAGAAGTTGTAATATCTATACCATGTATGGCTTTTCCTATCATGTTTAACTCTCACATTGAATTGAAATCAGCTTCTTTCTTGAAGCGATAGTTTCAATATCTCTACCATCTGTTTCACACAAAAATTTACAAAAGGAAAGCTAATTGTTCTTGAATCTTCCTCGTCTCCTCATCTACTTTGCAGAAAAACCAAGGTGTCTTCCAGGAATAAATTTCGTGAAACTATTAGGAGGTAAATGTACATCTCAGACAAGGTTATGCTCAAATGTCTTCTGTTTGGTTACAGATCAAACGTCTTAAGAGTTAGAGAACAGCTAAAAAACAACGCAGGTTACTGACGACCCTCATGAATTATGATTTGCTTGCAGAAGATGAAGCCGCCTTTGATGTACTGTACTGTATAGCTTTCGAAATGGTTGATGCTCAGTGGCTCGCAATGCATGCGTCCTACATGCAGTTTAATGTAACTCTCTCGCTCTACACATGCACATTGACACAAGCACACGCACACAATTTCCTAATGTTCGAAGTCCTCAGAAATCATGCCTCAAATTCCACATATTCTCCTCGTTTGTAATAACTTCTTAACAAGATATCCTTCCACTATCCCAAAACGCGCACAACTCATCTATTTATTTTTCAATGCGTTCGTAAGTTAAGGATGGTTTATATTTGTTCACTTGTTTCTTATCTTTATCTTTGAAGACACATCTTGATAATTTCACTCTTAACTATTAGAGTTGAACGTTCACTGCATCACAGCTTCTAATTTAACTTAGGTCAAATTGGCTTGTTTCTTCTGGTCAGCTCTCCAATCACTAACCCTTCGTTTCTGCTTGCAATCCTTCAGGAGGTTCTACAAGCAACAAGGACACAGTTGGAAAGAGAGTTGTCTTTAGAAGATACTCAGAGAATACATGATTTACCAGCTTATAATCTATTGTACCAGTAGCTAGCTGTATAGGTAGTACAAAATCCCTTTGAAAAATCACCCGAACTCCCAAAAATTTCTGATGAATTAAAACGTTTGCGTTATATATAATTGATGTCCATAAAACAGGGTAAGATCTTTCTTATGGTTTCATCTGCAGATGAAAAGAACAGGTAATCTTAAAGGCATTAGGTGTGATTGATACAATTGAAAACAACCTCATGCTTGTACGGCAATGCTTTTGAATGGTTGCTAGACAGAAATGAATAATGATGATGTAACCAAGATTGCAACAATTTGAGTACCTACAATTATTTGTTGGAGAAATTGTAATATGCGGGTTATGTTTATGATGACAGATGAATGACTGCTTCAAGCCGAGTAATAATTGCGTTATTTTTCAAACTTTATTTGCCCCCCCCCAGATCAAGTGTGCAAAGTGCATATACGAATCAAAGTTTTGCACACCTAAAATAAATCAAACATAGTAAGAGAGACAAGAATATTCAAGACAGCTAAAACCTAATACTGCATAATTTAATTTCTAGAGGCTCGTGTTATAACAATGTACAGATGGAACACGCATTTTTCTAGAAGTCTAAATATACCAAGAGACATAATGGATTTGGAGTGTCTCCTGGATTTGGATACAGATGATTTCAAGACTTGGATGCGTTCTTTTGCTTATTTTCGAACCTGTCTCGCCCTTAAAGTCCTAGTACAATGACAATTAGTTTGACTAAGTCGGCCTTTTATGTTATGCTAAAGTCTCTTTAGATTGAGGACCTATTGAGTTTTATCTAAAATGTTCTCTTAATTTGATGTTTGCATCAATTTTTAATATTACAAGAAAAGCAACTATCATATAGCCTAAAAAAATATAATTATAGTTAGCATAAAAAAGAAATGAAAAATGAGAATGAATGATATGTTTAAAAAAGAGTCGACAAACCTTCTTTTTTGTTTTTTGTTTTTACCAAACAATAGTATCTAGATTAAAGGGGGGGTGGGGGAGTGGGTTTAGTGGCGAAACCAGGCATTGTTAGAGGGAGGGGCGAACTTAAAAAGTGCAAGGTTAAGAAAAATGGCAACAACTAAAATCCTTTTATATAGTAATGTCTTTCATAATTTATCAATACAAACAAATTACAATTGTTGCCGACAAGGTTTAATGTCATGAAAATATCGCATATTAGGCTCATTATCAATAAAAGCAAATACATCTCTCTCAATGTAAACAATAATGCTATCACTCATCCATTGATCTCCCATTTTGTTACGCAATGGTGTTTTCACAATTTTCGCAGCAAAAAAAGCTCTCCACTGAAGCTTCACATTAGTACCCATATTGCTTGATTTCAACGATTCATCATGCCCATGAAAAAGCATACCTTGTCGCAACAACCATCTTTTGCAATCAAGTGCTCCACTTAATAAAGTGTGATAACTAATGTGAGTTTCATTGATTTACTTAATCACAAAGGTTTTAATGTGTTACTTTTGTGTCCTCAAATCTCTAGCTTGTTGTAAAGATTTATTATGAAGACTTCCAACACCTCCCTCATGAACTAGAAAATTTTCAAGTCATTTCTTCCAATTTGTAAACCATTTCTCAGTGAAGACACCACTTCCAGTAATACCCACTTTATCAAAAGCACATTTGAAAAGATAGCAATAACGACAAAATGTAACAACTTTTATTATAATATAATCCAACCACTTAAAATTATCAAACCAACCGATGGTAAAACATCAATTGTTGCTAGCTTTTCTTGGCATGATGTGGTCTTTAGGTTGACAATGATCATTTTGGAGATAGTGTTTATGAATTGCTTCATGATTATTAGGTGGAATCAAGTATTTGACGTCTATATCTAGGGTCTGAATGAAGATTAGCCAATATTTCATTCAACTCAGTGACCTCATTTTTTTGTGAACTATCTGGAATATTTGAGGGATGACTACTTGGAATATTTGAAGGAGAGGGATGACTACTTGGAATATTTGAAGGAGAAGGATGACAACTTGGACTATTTGAAGGAGAATTTAAGCACTATTTCTTATAGTATCATTGTGAAATCCCGTTCCCGGATTTCACTGTTATAATCTACGTATTTGTATTATTGAGATTTTATATTATTTTTTTGAGAATTTATATTAATTTATTTGAAATTGGATTTCAATTAAACTAGTTACGAAGAGTGAAGTTTGAAAAATTATTATTTACTCGTTGACCTTTCGAGGTCGTAAGTAACGTTTTCGAATAGGTCTTGCGGCCACAAGCGTATAGTCAAAAGCCGTTTGCGAGTCCGGGTTAGAACGGTATAGTTGCGGACATTTGAAGTTGTAAAACTTTAGGTTGTGAAAATTATTTAATTTTCCACTAGAGGGTAAAAGGCCCAAATATATAATTGGGTTAAGGGAACCGGCTAGGGGAGGAGGAGAAAGGACCAATAGGGGGAAGTTGACATTTTCTTTCCCCCATTTCTTGAAACCGTGTACTCCACTAGCCATTTTTCAAAACCGGCCAACTTCAGGCCAATTTCTACCATTTCTCAACTGATTTTCTTATCTCCTTTACCTGCAACCTGCTCAACTACCTTCCTGCTTCCATCTCCACCAAAAATCAAGGGTTTTTAAAGTCTAATTCGGGTAGAACTCCACCGGAGAACTCGGGGGTTCTCGATGGTGATTCGTCATTCTGGTGAATATCACCATGCACCATCACCCTTAATCAACTTCCCTTGGACCTAAGAATAAGACCCAACTGGTGGTTAGGGTGTAGGAACACCAAGGAAGCCGAATTGAAGAACACGCACCTTAGGGTTCAGGCGGTTCGTGGCCAGTTTGGGGTGTTTTCCGGTCAAATTGGCTTTGGCCACAGGTATAAAGTTTACTCTACTTGTTGAGATCTTCATTCTTGTGAAATTTGAGAATTTTTGAAAAAAGTCGGATTTTTGGAAAAAGTCAAATTTTTCGATATGTAACATTTGATTTAGGAAATACGGTTGGTTGAATATATTTTCGATAAGGTCTACCACTTGAATATTCTAACAATTGACGATCTCACCATTGAATTGACACCAAATTTTAGTATGCTATTGTAGATATGGTTTACGGACCTTAGGGTATTACTAGTGTAAATCTAGTGGGCCTATATTGGTTTGATAGCGACTTGAATATATGAGACATGATTACTATCTTAATTTCTTTATTGGTATCAATTGTGATTAAGAATTGGTCTTATGAATATGATTTCTTTTGAAATGTGATTTTTATATATTTAGCCATAGACCTATGCTTATTAAATAGGATTTGGCTTGTGCACTGATGATGTTTGGGACATATGTGTGTTTAATTATCTTTTTAATAATGTGATTGATAATTATGATGAATGTTATGACAATTATGGGATTTAAATATTGTTTGATAATTATTTGGATATGATTACCAACTGTATATCTATTTGAACTTGGCATTCTACCTAGCATGAGATGGAGATGGAAGGCAAGAGATGAGTTAGGTACTTTATTAGATTTTTAGTAGAAATAGTAATTGAGGGAATTTCTTGTGTTGTGTTCCATCTCACTTGATGCTAGTCGATATGTGTAATCGATAGCATGTATGCGTATAATTATGTGTAATGTGTCATGATGAGATTGCACCACGTAGTTGTGGTGCATGGATGGTCCTGCTTGGTATATCTGTGATGGAGGGACCATATGTATTCAGAGGTGATCATGCTTGGTATACCCATGATGGGTGATCACTGCCTGCACAATGAGTTTATGCCTATGGTCCTGCTTGGTATATCCGCGATGGGGGACCATACGCATTCTAGAGGTGAAGAGGATTAGTTGTACATGATACATTTTTAGGCGATCATATTTGGTTTGGTTCCGCTGAATGGTCCGGAACCCGAGGTTGTTGAATTTCGTGGAGCAGCCTAAAATCATATTGTTTGGAGAAGTAGGCTTGGCCTAATTGTGTCACTCTAGCCTTACTTATATATATATTTGTGTCAATGGTTTCGAGAGTCTTGTGAATTGAGTTAGAAAAGATGTTAGACGTCTGAGTGACTCCTTCGGGATTTTCTATGATTCGATTATGATTTCATAAGGTATGAATTTAGAAGATATAGGAATGATTGTTATTACTTTGATCAAATTAATTAATTAATGCGACTAGAGAATGGTTTTGTGTTTCGTCGGCTCTTAAATATGATGTGTGTTGTGAATTGCGATATCATGATGAGACATAATGATTTATATGTTGGATGGGAGAGAAATCATGTTTTCATGGGGATTGGTTATGTAGCCTGAGTACAGGAATTACATGTTGTCAGGTTATAATAAATGATTGAGGAATGCTATGCTTTTCTGCTTGAACTTAGTGGAATAAATGTTTGATTTTGTGATAAGTGAACTACGAATGACTTGGTCCCTATTAAGGGTACGTAGGCAGGCTAACGATGAGGTTAGATGCAGCCATAAGGTAAACAAAAATTTTCTTTGCAAATTGATTCTCGAATTGTGATTTGCCATATCCCGGAGACGGGGTATGTGAGATATACGAATATTTGGTGATGTCACATGTCGATCCTAGACGTATGTCGGGATCGGGACGTGACAATCATTCCATTAAGTAACTGTATAATGGAAAAAGAAAATTCTTAGACTCTTAATGTTGCAACCCGTCCTGAATTTTAATATATTTAATTTTTGTAAAATGTGAAATGACCAAAATGTCAATAGAAGGGTAAATGTTGACTTTTGTTGTAACAACCGGTTCATGAAGTATAGTATTTTAAATTCTCAATGTAGAAAATTACCAAAATACCCTAGTGGTATGTGTGTATTTGTGTTGACTTCGTAGTCGGAACATGTATAGTTGAACAAGAATTAGAATTAGAATTATAATTATAATGAGAAAGTTACGAAACACTAAGTCAAGGATATTTTAATAATTTTAAGAATAAAGGGTAAGTTTAATAATAATAGCCAGAATAAATAAATAAATAGATAATAATAAATAAAAGAAAGAAGGGAAAAAGGGAGGAGGAATTGAGAAGTGGGGAAGTCGGTGGAGAAAGAATAAAACGGGGGGAGGAAGGGAGGGGAGGAATCCCCACAAATGGAAAAGGATCCTCTGATCCTTTTCTCCTAATCTACATATCAAGGAATCTGTACCATTGAAATTTGATCAAACGGCAACAAATAGAGGTTTACTTTAAAAATTATAATAACTTCAACCGTTGGATCAATTTTCAATGACATGAATTTTTTAATTTAATAGATTAAGAGAAATGGATCCG